ATTAGTTTTTACTTTAATTCCCATAAAATTGAAATTTCTGTGACACTTTTTTTTTATATAACTGAAGAGATCATGCAGATAAGCTTGTTTTAGGTACTTGGACTACATAAAATGAGGTTTATTTAACAGCAAAGGAAAAAAGTACCACATAAGTCATTTGAAAAACCTCAAAGACTTATGTGTTACATAGGAATTTTTTCTACCTAATATTCTTTACTTTACATGCAATGTTCATGTTCTCTTATATTTTAAAGGGGGGAAGGAAAAGCCAGGCAGTGAGAGTATCTGTCCCTTTTGTCCTGGAAAGAGGGACAGCCCAAACTATCCCAGGCCAGCACAGCTGTGGAACTGCACCCTTGAGCGCCCTCTGCAGGCCGTCTCAGGGCTCACTGGTGCTCGCCTTCCTTCCTGCTTCCGTGTCTGAGGCAGTGGGTGGGCTTCTTGCAAGTGATGCCTCCGGGCCTCCAGTGCTGGAGCTGAAGTTGACCCTCGAGCGTTCTGATTTGTCCTTCTTTACGACCCGCAGGCTCACGATGGGAGACAGAAGGCCTCGCATTCCAGGCTGGGAGGGCCGGGTCCGGAGGTTTCTCCTCAGGAAGCGTCTGCCCCATCCTCCAAGTCAAGGAGCCCGCTGTGGCTGCCCATTTTTATAAGGCCTCTAGCTGTACTGCTGTAGCTCCCTCAGTGTTTCGGATAATTTCAAAAGATTTCTTTCTGTGATCATTTTCACTTCAGGGAAGAGCCAGTAACCATGTAGTCCTAGGTCTTATGAATTCGCTGGGCGAGGACTCACACAGTGTTTTCCGGAGCCCGCCTTTCCCTGGCCTTCAGTCTGCAGCAGCGTCCAGCACAATTTCTAAATCATACATGGTAAAGACAAACAGGAAGACTTCTCGAACTGCTTCAAGCCTGCAAGAACAAAGCAGCAGAGGTGACGGATGCAGGATAGAATATTTTGAAGAGGATTCATGGCAACGTGTCTTTTATTGTAGCAATTAAATTGAAGCAGTATAATTTTGTGTCAACTTTGCATTTTTATTTGAGATGATATAGAAGCCTAATTATAGGAAATAATATTTTTTTCAAGGTGATTTCTGTCTAGATGGCATGGAAGTCACAGGCTGGGACCTCACTTGGAAACTCTGAGGAGCCAGGAGCCCCAAGGCCAGGAGCAGCTCACGGCCTGCCCTGGGTTCTGCATAAGCCATGCTCGGAATTTTTTTTTTTTTTCTTACCTCAAGTCCTGCTGGGGAAACAAGACTGGGTGCTCCCTTGAGCAATGAGCTAAGTTTATCTGAGCTGGTTTGCATTTTGCATCCCTAGACAGTGGCCCAGCCTGGCAAAGAAAGCCTCTATTAAAGGCAGCGTGCAAGAGCCTGTGAGGTGCGGTCCCTGGCTCAGTCCTGAGAGATGGAGTCAAAGGCTCCCGTGCTGTGGATCCTGCTGCTTTTGGTTCCAGGTGAGGGCCGTAGAGAAGTGTTGGATGCGCTCTCTGAGGTCATCATTTCTTTCTGACTCTGGGCTCTTGGTCACTAGAATGAAGGCGTTGTTTCTAAGTTTTAAGTTTCCAAACTTGCTTTTGGTTAATCAGAGTGCTGTCCGCGCATGTGTTCACCAGAGTCACTGTCACATTGGGAAGGCCTCACTGATGACTGCTTGTGTGCATTTATCATTCCAGGCTCCACTGGGGACATTGTGCTGACCCAGGCTCCAGCTTCCTTGGCTGTGGCTCCAGGAGAGAAGGCCATCCTCTACTGCAGGTCCAGCAAGAGTGTTAATAAATTTGGAATCGAGCTTCTGCACTGGTATCAGCATAAGCCAGGCCAGCCTCCCAAACTCCTGACCGATACCGCATATAGCAATGCTGCTGGGGTGCCAGAGCGGTTCAGTGGTTGGGACAATGGGACACACTTCACCCTCACCATTCACCCTGTGGAGCTCGAGGATGCTGCAGACTACTTCTGTCAGCAGGGGATAGAGAGCCCTCCCACAGTGCTCTAGCTCTGCACAAAAACCTCCCCAGGCAGCTGCTCAGCGAGGCTCGGCCTCACAGGTGGCGCACCCTACCGGGGCAGCTCTACTTTGTGCTTCTAGGGGTGTTTGGGTAAAGGGTCAAACTAGTAAGTGCGGCATTCTCTTTCAAGAAAATGATTCTTATTGGTACATTTTAGGTATACATAGTGGTCACATTAGTCATAGGGAATTTGTGCCTGTACAGTAGGTATCTTGGTTCTCTTTTTTCCAATTCTTCAACATTTTCTTTTACCTCTTCCTCTCTTTAAAAAAACTTCTTCTCATTTTTCTTTTTCTTTTTTTTTTTTTTCTCATTTTGTTTTTACTTTTTCCCCCTGCCTTTCTCCCTCCTCCATCCCTGGTTCCCCTTCCTATTTAATATTTTCTTCTTCTATCATATCTGGTATGCATTTGGGTCCTTATTGATTCTTTTGCTTTCTCCCACCAGGAAAACAATGCAGTATCTATGAATATGTGTCTGATTTATATCAATTAATGTCTCAAGGCGCATCCACTGAGCTGGATATTTATCAAATTTTTCTTTCTTTATGACAGAGTACTATTAGATTGTATATTAAAAAAACATTTTTAACCACTCACCAACTGATGGTCATTGGGACTGCTTCAAAGATTTGGCTCTTACAAAATGGACCTGTATAAACAGGGGTGCACATAGATCATGATAGGATGCTTTTAATTCTTTTAATTCTGACAGCCCCAAGAAATGAGAAATTGTTAACCTGAAGTGTGTGTCACAACAGGTGTTTTATAATTTTATCATTTTCTTACTTAAGAACTCACAGGATTTTTTTTTAAAGCTTTCAAATTAATCAGGGGAGGAGGGAATAATAAACAAAGAAAGAGAATTGCCGTTGATTCTGATTCCCTTTTCGCTTCAAGTCTTTTCCACTGAAGCAGTGCACGTGGTCTTCAACATCTACTCTACTTCCTTGTCCTCAGTCCCTCAGCATGGACAGTCACAGGGAGAGGGAGCCCTGACAGTGATGTGCCCTGAGGCAATAAAGCAAATGGAGCCCTGTCACTGCCTGGAGAGCCCTCTGTTCATCTGGCGATGAGGGACATGGTACTTTGTTTTTCCTTTCCTTTCCTTTCCTTTCCTTTCCTTTCCTTTCCTTTCCTTTCCTTTCCTTTCCTTTCC